CCTAAACCCTAAACCATGAAGCCTAAACCACGAACCCTACATCCTGCTTTCAATCACATGGTATTCGATCAGGTCTTCAGGGTGGTTTAGAGATCTAGGCCCTAGGCTCAAGAGTTGTAACCCACTCATGATCGTTGGCACCCCGAAGTTGAATCGGATCGGACCTTAGCCGGCATGATCTTCGAGTTGTGTGGTTTTACTAGTTTGTTCGGAATTTAGGCCTTTCGGGCTTGGGGCTCAGGGTGTTGGATCTGTTTATGGTTCGAGCTTTAGAACTTATAGTAGAAGCCCAAAAGTTGGAAACCCAATAGCCTCAATCCCTAAGAGTAATGTATAGGGAATCCCAGCACTATTTGTCCTTCATCCGGTTTCCAACTTTTTGGGGTTTACTATACCGCCAGCTGAAACCCTAGCCCAAAACCTTGCAGCATGCCAGGTACGTTCTTTACATCCTCATGGAGTGCGCGGTGCCGAGAGCGCGCTCAATTCTGCTTGCTCTGCTTCTCCTCCTGGACCTGTGGCTTTAGGGGTTCCCTAAACCCAAAACCCAAAACCCTAAACCCTAAACCCTAAACCCTAAACCCTAAACCCTCCCCCAAAGAACTGCTTTGCTTCCTTCGGCGTCCTACGAACGAGCGATCGGGCCTGTGGCACCCGAACTCAGTCATGGAGTCCCCAACACAGTCTGTTCAGGGTTTAGGGTTTAGGGTTTAGGGTTTAGGGTTTAGGGTTTAGGGTTTAGGGAAGGAATACCCTACTACCGTAATCCATTGAAGCCTGACTTTGTTCATCTTTGCTCCAACCGACGAACTTGATTGCCTTCGCAACTGTCAATGTGGATTAGTAAGATGCCAAAGTTTCCCTGGTTCCGTCATGGTTTACTAGATGATGCACTTGAGTGCTATAAGTCAGTATACGAAGTTTGAAGTACATCATGCAGCCATGTACAAGACCTCAGTCTTGAGTTTGTCAACTCACCTCCAGAAAGCCTTCGAGTTCTTCAGGAAACTTTTCCAGATCACTAGCTAGGATCCCAATCGCCACACACAAAGAGATCGTGGAGGTGTAGCGCGTAGGGTCTAGATGGAGTTTAGGGTTGATCATGGTTAGTCATCTTATTATGATTATGATAATTAGGGCTTAGGGCAAGTACCCCGACTACAAGGATCGCTACCATTTTCGAATTTCCGAGCAGCACTCAACCCTGAACAAACAACACCGTGAAGCCCTAAACCTTAAACCCTCAACAACCAGACCTAAGCCTGTGCCCAAGGTCCCAAGTACATCACCCAATATCTCTTCGAGTCTGAGAAGACGGAGGACGACGGAAGGTACGTCGACGAGGAGGCCTTGTCTACCTGGATCCGAGTGACACCTAGGGGTTACCATAAGGGTTCCTGAAAGGGCTTCCATAAAGGTTACCACGGTTTGGACTACTTTAATAATGGGTTATTGTGTTGCATATTATGGTTGCTGTTTAAGTGCGTGAAGCCCATGGGTTCGGGTCAAGTAGGTTTTTACCAGGTTATCAGACTTCTTGTTGGAATTTCGGTGGGCCCCGCTGGAGATCACATGGGTTCAAGCAAGATGTTTGAGGGCTTCTGATTAATGGCTTCAGGTCAGGGCATGTACAAAAACTGCCGGCTTTGCTGCAGGTGCATATTCCCAACCCGACAACCTGGTTATAAGCATTGATAACCTCCCCAATCTGCGTTCCTCCTCTCAGATCCCCAGGATTACAGGAAAGGTTGTTTCGTTGCAGGTTGCTACTGAACACCTGTAGCCCATAACTCGCGAAATAGTACCCATTTGCAGGGCTCTTACACCACAAGGCTATTGGATCCAGAGCTACCTAGAGACCAAGAGCCCTCGTCCCGGACTCTTTATGTCCTGTGGTTATCCAGGCCTCCTCGTGTTTGTTGGGTTTTTAGTCTGGGGTCTTACAAAGCCTTATAGGTCTACCTAAACCCTAAACCCCTAAACCCAAAGACCCTAAACCCCTAAACCCTAAACCCTAAATAGGGTTTAGGGTTTACCCTAAAACTCATGGACGCCCATAATGAAGGCCCAAACCTGAGGCCCCCAAAGCCCAGACCTTCCCCTAGAAAGCCCATAACAGCAACACTTTAGGGTAGAGTTTAGGGTTTAGGGTTTAGGGTTTAGGGTTTAGAGTTTAGGGTAGAACCTTGATCGCATTTGTTGTTGGACGTGGTGGGCCCTTTGGGTAGTCTAACTGCTTGCCATGGTCGTTTGCTTGTGGGGGCCTTGGAGTTCAGGGTCCATGGGGTTTAGGGTTTTGGGATTTAGGGTTTAGGGTTTTAGGGCTTTAGGGTTTTAGGATGTTTGCGGGTTTTGGGTTTTGGGGTCAAGGGTTTCGGGTTTAGGGTTTTTGGGTGGCCGGTTGAGTTTAAGCCATGGGTTTGGGTCCGGGCCTGATTGTCCAGCGTGAATCAGTCCCCGGGTTAAGGGTCAATATAGGGGCCTGAATGATTTACCTATACTATGTTGGGGGGGGTTCCTTGTATGATTATAGTGTAATATTCCCTAAAGTAACTATTCTAACTATTCAGGCCCCTACATTACCAACCCCCACCACCCCGAACTTGAAGCACGGAAAGCCGAAGACGCCCGCGGCAGCCCAGCCTAGACCCTTGCATTCTGTTCGGAAGTGCAATACAAGAGACTCAACGGTGAGTAACATGTGAGTTGAGGTTCGGGAACCCTTAAAACCTTTATTTAAAGAACATAATTAAACCCTCAACCCCCCAAGCCCTAAACCCTACACCCCAAACCCTAAACTCTACACCCCCAAACCCTAAACTCTACACCCCCCAAACCCTAAACCCTAAACCCCTTAACCCTCATCATGCCCTAATCCCTGAACCCTAAGCCGCCAAACCTTATATCTCCCCAGCAGGATGTAGAAGAAGACAACATCGACGACCGCCTTCGGATGATCGTCTGAGTCTGAGACTTTAGGATAGAATTTGGATTAAGGGTGCAGAAATCAGGGTAAAGGGTTCAGGGTTCAGGATTTAGGGCTAAGGGTATGAAGTTCAACGTTTAGGGCTTGCGGTTCCAGGTTTAGGACGGTTTAGGGTATCTCTGGACCGAATCTGGACTTCGCTCCTAAACGGGTGTTCGCCGACACAGCCCGCACATATTCTATGAGGTATCGAAGCAGCTAAAAATGGTAAGCGGAAAACGGTTCTGCAATCCAGCATCCAGGCAAACCTAAACCTAGGGTGAGGGTTGCAACTGCAATATGGGGGTTTCCGAAAATAAGGTACCCTAATATAGTACCCTAAATAGTAGGATCCGTATTATAAGGACCCCCAAATAAGGTACCCCCAATTTTCGGAAACTCCCAAATCTAGGGTTGCTGGCTCAGGCCCAAACCTTGAAGGGAAGATCCAGGTCTGCAAGCTTGGTAATAGGGTTAGGGTTTAGGGTTTAGGGTTTAGGGTTTAGGGTTTAGGGTTTAGGGTTTAGGGGATTCGTTTATAGGCCGTATTAGTCAGTATATACGTTTACGCGCACAAATACATCAAAACCCCATATATCCTGTAATTGTTTGTCCAGGCCCTGACATCTGCCCGAGCAGCCCGTGTATTCCCAACCCCAGAACCCCTGCCTGGACCCCTGCGCAAACCCAAAGTCTTGTGCAATAGACCAACCTAAAACCTCTGTACGCACAAGAAGCCCAAGAACTCAAGAACCTCTGGGCAAACCCTAAGCCCTAAACTTCATATGGGTGGTTGTCAAAATTATGATTCCTTTTTGGGTCCTTATTATAATACGGCACCTATTATTTAGGGTACCCCAAAAGGGGCCATAATTTTGACAACTACCCATGTACGCCCAAGTAAGCCTTTCAAAAACTCATCCCCATACTTAGCACAGCCTTGTGGCCGACGGGTTCACCACGCCGAAGGCGAAGATGAAGGAGCCCGAGCCGTACCGAGATGCGGACATCTGGTTCAGCGAGACGGAAGAAGAAGAGGCCATGGCGTCAAAATGTTGTGCGAAAACTGTGTTATAGGTCTCCATTGTAGTTCCTTTTTTGGCTAACCGAATTTATATTATAGGAGCCTCACCATAACATTGGTGAACCAATAAAAGGAACTACAATTGAGACTATACCTTAACCTACCAAAACCCACTTCTTTGTAGGTCCTTATTATAAACCCTAGTATGGGATTTATGGGGACCCTACAAAAAAGTAGGTTCTGGTGGGTTAAGGTAGGTCAGGCTCCTATACCTGTTTTTTCCGAAGGGGAGATATCTGAGGAGACCTCCCGCTTATTCAAAAGGGGATGTCGGGCTCAGGGTTTAGGGGTCGTTTGGGCTAGGGTTTAGGGTTTAGGGTTTAGGGTTGGGGCTAGTGGAATCGGGAACTGAGTCTCGTACTGCGGTTTTTGCAGCTTCTCGTTTCTGTGAAGAGGCGACGGTATCCAGCTGACAACCCGTGAACCCCAAGGCCTAGGCCCTACACCCATGCCTCTTTGCTGAAGTGGCTGACGTTTTCCAGGAGAGATGGTGCGACGGCTGCGGATCCACGCGCGTGGTGGTGATGAAGAAGCACACCGACGCACGAGACCCTGACGTCAAGGATTTAAGGTTTTGGGGCCTCGGGTTTGCTGGCTCCTACACCCTTGCACGGCCCAACACCCCAAAGTCTCTAGAATCTCGAAGCTGTATACCCTACATCACTAACAAGAGGAGGGCCGAGGATTTCGGGGTTTAGGGTTGATGAAGTTGAGGCTTTTGCACGGGGATCTCGGGTCCAGGGATTCCACAAGCGCTTCCGATTGCTGCGCCGGGAACCTAGGACTAGTTAGCGGTTTAGGGTTTACTGTAGGGAGAGTTTCCGTGTTTTTTTTGGGGGGGTCACTTTACCAAGAACATTTGTCGAAACCCTCAATCCTAAACCCTAAACCCTATTCTAAACCCTTATAACTTATAAATCCTGAACCCTAAACCCTAAACCCTAAATCCCAACCCCTAAACCCTAAAGCCTGTGCCAAGCCGAAGTTCCGTGGAGCCTGGCCGAGGCCAAGTACATGAAGTACTGCAACGACTGCCCCTTCGTCTCGCCGGCCAAGGACGGAGTGGTGGCAGATTGCGCAACCATCTCACTGTGCCGAAAACCTTCGACGAATCAATCCAGGAGAGTGAATGAATGAATGAATGAATGAATGAATGAGTATATATAATATATATATATATATATATGTATACACACACACACATACATACAAATCTTGAAGGGAGAGCGAGAGAGAGAGGGACAGAGAGAGAGAGAGAGGGAAGTGTGTGGGCATTGCATATTTGTTCAGGCTTGTTCAAGTCTAACCCTGGTATCCGCTGGCAGAATACAAGAATGCAAATTCCTCCCGTACTAGCTTCACATTCCTGGCAGATTCCTGGAGCTTTGTAAACTCTTTGTGGAGTGTCAAGGTTCCAGTTTCGTCCATCTTGTCTCTCACAGTAATTATGCTAAGAAGAAGATTAGTAATAAAAGCGTGCTTGCCTACTCAGTCCGGTGGCCAACTTGGTTGTCACCGGACTTTCTCGGTGAGCCAGAGCGTTGCACGGCCGTACCGCTTGGGCATTGGACTCTGAACTTTTGCCCACCGAGCGCCTGTGTTGCAGACCTTGTTCCAAGCCGGAAGTCGTTTCGTATGGATGTGAAGCCGGAAGTCGTTTCGCAAGGATGGGCTCACCTACTCACTCCTGCGGCGCTGCCATCGTCGCATGACTTTCTCGGCGAGCCAGAAAGAAGCGCGGCCGTACCGCCTGGGCTGAGCTGCAAGCGCCAGCCCATCGAGAGCTTGCGCAAGATGCGAACAAGGAGCTGGAGTGTACAGAATCACCGACGTCAGTGTTCGTGAAGAAGAACTTGTCTGCTGGTGTTGTGGAAGAGGAACACCATGAGGCTGTGAAACTTCGCTGGTTGCCCGTGTTTCACCTGCTGCTGCTTTGGAGATTGCGACCTTGCTTTGATGTGGGCATGGCCACATGCATTCTTGCACAGGGGTTTTGCAGGCAGCGAAGTCAGACATGAAGCCGTGGCCACCCATGTCCCGTTGTTGGCATGTGCTTACCTGTTCAGTCCTGTGGCAA